TATTATTTAAATAGTGATATTTAAAGTGTGATGATGGAAAGTGAGTAGGAGGACTTTATAATTTCAACRTAAGTATTTTAAACAAGTTCAAACACTGCTGAGTAATAACCAGTGGAGAAAACAATGGAATAATAGAAAATCTAGGTAATTTGTCCTCCTACACCAGCATCAATTTTTTTTGCAGAATTATCCATAKGAAGATGGAAGTTTCACACCTTCCCACATGCCTTAGACAAGCAACTCAGGTGCCTKTACTGGAAGGGTTTTCCTTATTGCTGTCCTAAATGTCTCTGTCTTGCCCTGTCTCTAATGGGTAGTGGAAATAGTTTGCTTCCTCTTTTCTGTGCCATTTTTTCACATAGGAAGTCTGTTCTTTTATCTTCCCTCGATCCTGCTGCACCAGGAAATGTACATTCAAATACGAATAATAAAGAAAAKCTCCAAGAGTAAAGCTTGCCATTTAGCAGGGTAATGCTGAGGTCAGTGAAGATGAGCAGGGAAATATGAAAGGAAAGGATTGTGGGAAGAGAAGCACTGTGTTTAAGAAAAGGATGTAACAAAATACAATGCAAGTTTAGTTTTTGAGTTTCGGGTTTTGTTTTGTTTTGTTGGTTTTTTTTTTGGGTTTTTTTTTGTTTGTTTGTTTTTGTTTTTATTTTTTTTTAAACAAAACTGAAAGGAAAAGAAACTGATAAAACTTATATTGTGGTATTTCTGGAACTTGGGTGAATGTGAACGTATTTATAGGGAGTGCTGGGTTTTTAGGGGATGGATAGGTRAAGATGGAAAGGCCACTGTGCTTAGAAATGTGATGTGTGTTTCTTACATCCCTTTTGTGTTGGTTTTGGTTTACAGAGGAGATTAATTGATAACTTTTTCTGCAAGGAGAGAGAGACTAGAGGCCTGAGCCTCTTTGCRTTGAATTGAACCTTGTACAAATGCATGTTTTATTACTTAGTTTCAATTGCAATTGCGTAGATGGCACAATCCACCAATGAGAGTTGTTTTTACATTGGTGCTCATGATTCAGATTTGAGGAAATTCCCAGCATCCCATCAGGGAGACAGGCACAGAGGAGGAAGACTGTCCAAGGGGAAGAAGTAACCGTGGTTTAGGGGCAGCAGTGATACGGGTTCACATGGGGTTTTGGTGGGAGAGTGGGCAGGGAGAGGTGCAGAAAGCAGAGGGACAGAGAACACAGCTGCACTTTGACCAGGACATGTTATTTGTTAGGAAGACTCAGCAGTGTCTCCAAATGAGCGTGAGCCAGCGTGTGTGTGAGCTCTCACCTGCCTGGAGAGGGTGCACAGGGGCTGCTGTAGGTCTGACCTGAGCCCACTCTTCTCCTGGGAGTGCAGGTTGCCAGCCTTGGCAGCACTTCTGCGCTGAGACACAGCCTCTGCTGCAGCAAACGTTGCTCATTTACTRCTGGTTCCTTTATCTGCAGCAACATGAAAGATCAGATGTAAAACTTGCCCAACATCATGTATTTTGTGGAGCTGTTAATACAATTACCATGGAAATGTTGAAGGAGTACTTTTCATCAATTAAATTTACTTTATCATTTTTAGACTAAGTCCCATAATAATATTTGAAAGATAGTATGAAAGCAGTCATGAAATGTTTAAAGAAAATCTTTTTTAGATAATCAGTTTTGATTCCTTGGGAACTGGGGAGGAACCACGCTGATAGAGAGTACTTAAAAACCTGACATTCAGAATGGCTAAGGTCTGTTCTTCAAAAGGACAAATCGGTACTGGTGGCTCTGCATAGCTAATGAAATCCATGTCAGTCATGGGGAGGTGTGCACATGGCTATTTTTGAACAGCACAGTATACAAGGAAAGGTCTTCCCTGAGCTTTGAACTGAAAGCTCGATGAAATGCAAAGCCAGGATATGACTGTAGGTCACCCAGGGCACAGACCTCTGCAACAGTTCTTGAGGTGTCAGAATTTCATTATGTGACCCAGTGAAGCACCTGTGTGTCTAGATGTGCATTTTCTGTATTGCAGAGCAGCTGACTGCTGGCATTGTTAARCAAGAAGCATCTTTCAGCAAAGAACAGAACCACCCAGTGCAAGGAAAGCTATAAATGATGGCATGTGTGCATGAGAAAAGCAAATCTTCCYGGGAGCTGTTAGCTTGGCCAGTGCTTAGGATCTGTATGGGTTATTTAAAACTTCCAGAAGTTTAGGCAGAAGGAAAAAAAAGAGGAAAAAAGGATATATAATAGGRTGCTCAGTACACCAAGGTATAAACTAAATTTATACCTGGTTTTAAAATTAGTTCACAGYTATCAGGGGTGAGATTCAGCTCTGGAAAGGCACCTGCATTTTGGTGTCTATGTGTAGGGTGCTGTGAGCTGGGGGCAGACGGAGCTAATGTCAGGGGAACCTGGGGAATAATTCATTTTACCTYAATGCAGAAACCTGCTGGCTGAAAATTCGACAGCTAAAAAGCATCTATATGCTTGTGTCATTTCCTAAATTAAATAATGTACASCAAGGAAATACTATATAAACAATTGAATTGTGTGGTGTCAACATTAAATGTTCTTACAGAGYTGAAGTAGCTGATAAATAAGAAGTACAAACTTTCCTGAAAATTTTCATATTGCTAGTAAGATGGCCAATTTATTTATTACACAATATCATATTCCCTGTTTGTTGGATATATTGACTCACTCTTATATCTGTTTTCATTATGTTAAGCTTTTTTTCGAAAAGCAGTAAAAAAGATTTTGTGCAGCAGAAATTTGTAATAATCCACTCATTGATAAAACCAGTTAATGATAAGTTATTTGACTGCACATGAAGACCCTGACACTGAGGTTTTTTCTTAGTTACAGCATTTGATTTTAAAACATTGCAATATAATTCTCAAAGAAAACAAAGTTCTTGTCCAAAAAAAAATGAATCAAATCCATGTATGCATATTTTACTGACAAACTTACACATTGATATTTTCTCTCAATGTTTCCCTTAAGTATATTTTGTCATTAAAKAAGCCAAAATATGTAATTTTTCGAAGATCAATAATTGATATGCATTRTGGTTCTTAATTAATTTTTTATTGCTTTCAGGGGGATGAATGAACAGTGAAGTTAAATTAATCTAGATTTTTTTTTCGTATTTACTTGTCTTTATTTAAAAATATTTTAATGTATTTTTTACTATAGAAGGTTTTTTATAAGATTAGCTAATGCAAGAAAAGGGCAATTTATCCTAATTTTGCTTTAATTTTCAATGGCTTTCTGGTGTAAAACATAAGATGAAAGGAGGCCAAGGAGAATTTCCMTTCTTTATTGGATGTGGTAGGAAGCATAGAGACAAAGGATAAGGCTGAGGTACYTAATGCCTCCTTTACCTCAGCCTTTAATAGCAAGACCAGTTATTCTGTGGGTGCCAGCTCCCTGAGCTCTAACACAGGCTTGGGGAGTAGAATGAAACCCCCATAATCCAAGGGGAAAYGTTCATCACCTGCTKCACAACTTAGACGCACACAAGTCCATGGGCCCGGATGGAATTGAGGCCAGGGTACCGAAASAGCTGGTGGAAATGATCACTAAGCCTCTTTTCATCATCTGTTGGCAGTCCTGGCTAACTGGRAAGGTCCCAGTTGACTGGAAATASGCAAAGGTGATTCCCATCTAGAAGAGGGRCTGGAAGGAGGAGGCAGGGAASWWYAKMT